TTTTTTCCCAACAAAAAAGAATTAATCTTTTTCTTATATACTCAAACACCCTTTTCAGTAAACTTCAATTTCCATGGCTAATTCTTCTTCTTCCTCCTCAAAATCCTCCATTTCTCCTCGTCATCCTCCTCTTTTCACTCCTGTAAGTTCACCATTTCTCTTTTGGGTATTCAAGCAAATTCTTGATTTTTGCTCATTGATTCTTGATTTATGATGTTTTTAAGTTTTTTCACCACTCTTTTAAGATTTTCAACATAAAGAAACAATCTTTTTGGTAAATACTCAATACCCTTTTGGTTTAATTCAATTTCCATGGCTAATTCATCTTCTCCTTTTACTCCTGTAAGTTTACTTTTACCCTTGTTTTCTCTTATGGGTATTGAAGCAAACTCTGTTTAGGTGTCTTTCTTCTTAAAAAGATTGAATTTTTATGTTTTTTGGTTTGTGTTTTTTTATTGTAGATTGAAGAAGGGAATGAAGAAGAAGAGTATTCACAAGGGAGAAGCAGTTTTAGAGCAGAAACAACTCCAAGTGAAGCTGAATACAGACACCATCCTACACCTTTACACTCTAAAACAGAGAATAAAGGCAAAGTGTGTAACAAAAAGAGGCAAGAAAATGATGATAAAGGAGTTTTGTGTAACAAGTGCAGGCCAAGCAATAGGGAGAAAATCACTGTGGTTCCATTAGACAACAAGGGTAATTCTGTAAATAGTCCACATGGTGGTATATTCAAATCTGTTCTGTCTAATCTTGTTAAAAAAAGTCCAAGATTATCATTTTCATCATCAGAAGTTGAGTCTTCTGTTGTTGGTGGAGTGTCAACAAGAGAGGAACAATGGAAAATTGCATTAGCTGAGGTTTCACATAAGCTTATTCAAGCTACTAGGAAAAGAGATGAGGCTGTTTTAGAAGCATCAAGATTGAAGTTTTCTATGGTTGAGCTTGAGAAAAAGCTAAACAAACTTGAAATTTACTGTCATAATTTGAAGTCTGGTCTTGAAGTTTGTAGTAACAATGTTATGACTAACAAATCTCCTTTGAGTTTGGTTCAAAGAGTGAAATTTGGTGAAGAGGATAAAGTGATTGAGCATTTCTTGGTTATGGTTTCTGAGGCAAGATCATCTGTTAGGATTTTAAGTCGATCAATGACTCTTCAGCTTAGACAGATTGGTAGCAAAGTTTATGATCGAATTGCGTTATTACTCCAACCATATGAAATCAAGATTTCAATATCAAGAAACCCCAGAGGCTTGCTTGTGTATCTTGAAGCCTTGTTAAACAAAGCTTTTTATGATGATTTTGAATCTATTGGATATCAAAAGAGTTCTTGTAACCAAATCTTGAACCCCATTGATCGTTGTGAATCGAATTTCGGTTTGTACAATCGATTAAAGGACTTAACATGGGAGGAAGTTTTAAGCAAAGGGACAAGATTTTATAGTGAAGAATTCAGCAAGTTTTGTGATAGGAAAATGAGTGAAATTGTTGCTATGTTAGGATGGAACCGTGCTTGGCCTGAACCACTTTTGCAAGCCTTTTTTGGTGCATCAAAAGCAGTATGGTTAGTACACTTATTGGCTAACTCATTGCACCCAACTTTGCCTATTTTCAGAGTGGATAAAGAGATGAAATTTGACTCAATTTACATGGAGGATATGGGTGCAGACAAGGCTAAGAAGTTGGTCCCTAACATGGTTAGGATCATGGTTACACCAGGGTTCTATGTCTATGACAATGTGGTCAAGTGCAAGGTGCTTTGCAGGTACAATAATAATATTGGCATTAACAACAATGAGGGTTTAATAACCCCATCACCTACATAACAAAAATAGACATCATGTGAAAAATATTTAGTTTAATTTTGTTTTTTTGATGTACTTATTAGATTTTGGAGGACTTTTTAAAGCAAAGTGAAATATTTGGCGTTTTCTTGTTGTAAGTTTTCTTGCATTGATTTACTCATTACTTGGTCAAATTGGTGAGTTTCTTTGTCAAACTTTTCTTGTTTGGGAGATTGGAGTCCTAACATCCTTTTGGAATGACCATGGAGTATTGTGGTAATGATTTTCCACCCTTAATTAGATGTTTCGAGCGTAGAAAAAGTTTTATGTTCATGGTCCTATGCAATGCTAACCTAGATTACTTAGGGCTTCATTGTTTAGATTAATCGTGACTCTCAATATAGATATCAATCATGAAAAAATCTTTACTTGATTGGGTACTTAACTTTTACTGTGAAGTTTGATTTGCCCATATTTTATTTTTTTAAAAAAAGAGCTAGGATAAAAACTTCCCTATGGAATCTCATTATTATGTACAACTAGATATATAGTTAAGGTACATACTCATTGTAAGTTGTGATGAATGAGTACTTTTTTTAAAAAATTGTTTGAGTAGTTTTATTTCTTGTGGTACCTAAAAGCCAATATAAGCCAATACAAGAAAGTAGTAAAGTTTCTTGTTGGTGTACATGAGTTGTTGTTGTCTTTGACAGCCCTCGTCTAGGTTTCCTCATCCTTCAAATTTGTCTTATTGACTACTTGCTGGGACCAATGCAAGGAGTCCAACTCACTAGTTTTTAAAAGAATCACTTTCATAGATTTTCATATCAGATTTACATGTACAACAAATACTATATATTTGTTATCTTCACTAACACAAATAACACAAATATCGAATAATTTTACTAACGAAGCGCTTTACACATGTTTGAGCCTATGTTGAGCACCTCCGCCACCTCACCTCCAAAATTACTAAGGTCGAATGCTCATAAAAGTTCAGATAAGAGAGTACTTCCCCAATTATTAAGGGAAAGGCTCGACGATGGGAAAGGAAAATAGTTTTTGAGATCGAGGATGGCCTTATGACAAGGAACTCTTATCTCATTTTGTCTTACCCATCATGATAGTCGTCTTCGGATTTTTATCTATCTTTTATAATAAAATCTAGTATTTTTTTTTTTGTTAGGATTGGAATCTCGATTTTTATTATTTTCATCTATTTCATTAATCGCAGGATCACACATTTAAATGAAGTTATCTTCATATATTTTGACATCTTAGATTTGCATGTACAACAAACACTACCGGTTAAGGAGAAACATTTTTATTATAGACTTTTTCTCTTCCTTTGGAAATGTATTAAAAATATAATCTTTATCCTCAGGGATGATGTTACATTGGAAAACAAACATTTGTCCTATGTATTAATTTATACACATTATTCTAAAAATGGCTAAGTTAGCATCAAGAGCTAGTTGATATATTTTGATTACTAATATAACTTTGTATAACTGATGCAATATGGTTGACCACCTTCACATAAAATAATATGTACAACAGAGTTTGCTTTCATCATATGAATATGACATGCTTTTTTTTTGTCCCACATAGCTCAAAATAACATTTAGGATGTTAATTTTGACTTAGGTAATAATAATAAATGTATGCGGAAAATGATACTATTAAGTTAATAATTGAAAGCATAATTTAATAGATGAAATTAGAATAAGGCTTGATTATATTCTGGCAAAAATGTGCATTATAACCATATCTACGTCAAGAGGAAGAATTTTGGTAGCCGATAGCCGGTTGACACTGAGTTTCCAAACACATTATACTTCTGCTTGAGTTGAGAATATTTTGAAAGGAATTTTCGGAATATCAATAGAGTGGTAATTATTATCCTAGTAATTATATCAATTCCAATTATCAGGACGCTTTCGAAATAAACCCTTTAGAAAAAAAATTACTTTAATTCTAAATATTATTAACTTTTTCTTAAAAAATAAAATTGTATGGAATGACACCTTGCCAAAAGGCATCTTTGCTAGTGAGTTTTTGGCAGTCATCCTCTTGACATGCTAAATGGATAAGTAAGAATAAAATTTTGTTTTTGTGGACGAATAAAAATGAATGAAAAGATCAATAATACTTTGCTAACATAACACGTTAGAAATATATTTACTATATGTCTAAGAACACTAAATATATAGAATATCATAATGTAAATGTATTGCTCATAAGATTCTTAATTTAGTCAACTTTATAATTGTTGCATCACTATTTAAATAGTTACATCATCAGTATGACGCACAAGTTAATTAATAAAATTGACTTTACAATAACATATAATTCTTCTTGTTAAATTTAATATGATGATATGATAAATAAATAAATAACATGATATAGCATATTAATTAAATATAACACTAACGATATATTTATCTTAGAGCTTTCTTTTACATGTAAATGTAAATGCATCATATTTTCTAGTAACCTTCTGCCTCAATTTAAGGCCTAGCAAATGAAAGTCAAATTCAAGATTTTACTACTTTTCAAGCTATTTTTGTGTCACAAAAACTTCCACCTGTAATATTTTGATATATACTGGAACTATTCTACTGTTCTAGAATTAGTCTGAAACTTAACCGTGTCTTTAAAATTAATTAATAACATCAAACGTGTACATATTTTTCTCCCCTCGTTTTAATTTGGTAGTATGATTATATGATTTAATACAAATTTTATAAAATTAAAAGAAAGCTCCGTACAACTTCGCCGAAAGACATACCCAAAAACTAATATTAAAGTCCGGTACTCTAAATTTATATTTATATTAAAGTCTGACTAATTTAAGTTAGGTTGGAAATAACAATCATATCTATTACATTACATTCTTAAGGGATGTTTAATTAATTTAAAATAAAAATACATCCTTAGAGATCATATAGAAATCAATACTCATAATATTTTATATTTACTACTTCGGTGGGGAATCGATCATATACTTCTTTGATTACATTATCTTCACACTTTTGACATTTTTAATTATGAGAAATCAATACACATAGTGTTATTTTTTCAAATATGTTAAAGTTAACATTGTTTGTAAATTTAGTTTCCGGGTATGAACCTTTGGACGGTGCGACAAGATGGTTCGACCCGGATCAAACGACCCGGAAAATGATGAAATCGTTTCGGGTCATAGTCGTATCGTCGGAGACAATTCAACTTTGGGCCTTTCAACAGTCAACGTGCGAAAATTACTACGACTAATTCTCTCTCTGTGAATTGTTAAACCACTGAGAATTTCCATTTCCAATTTCCAATTTTTCGATCACAACGATCTCTGTGATCGATCAATTATTTAAAGCCCACACACAGAGAGTAACGGAAATTGGAATATATTTTACTTTTTGGTGGAAAATCAATCATGTCCATGTCTGATTCCGATACATCGTCGCAGGGAAGCGATTACAAGAACTTCCGGCAAGTTATACGCGACAGTGAGTATTCTATAATCATATTTTTGCTTTGAAATGCATGTAATTAGCCTTTGATTGCAACTATTAGGGTATTAATCAATCTGTTAGTAGAATAGAAATGTGCTTTCCTTGATCCAGTTTTGTAAATTGTGCTTTTTTGTAATGAGATGTGCCTGAATAAAGCAGACTGGATATTAGGGATTTGCATAGTCAGTTGATTGATTGGTACTAATTTCTGTATGTTCATTTGAGAATTGATACGCAGTGTAATTCGACAAGTGGGGTTTTGGGGAGGGTGATGTGTATGCAGCCTTACTCCTACCTTGTGAAGATAGAGACGTTCATTTGAGAATTATTATTTGATAATCTGAATATCAAAGTCCTTGATTCTTTTAGCTTTTTGGTGGAAGATAAAAAATGTTAAAATGGTTTGGAGTGAAATCAAGTCATCAGGTTATATTCACTATTAGTTACCTAAAATTAGGCGGATGCTGCGTTTTATTTGAATCCTACTGCAGACTAAAGCTTTGTATTTAAGTGGAGAAGGGTAGAGAGGGGCGTTATTACCCCTCGAGCTTTGAACCGCGCAGTTACTATCCCATGGTAATTTCTTGGTTATAAAAAGTTATAATTTTTATTGTTATCTACTGGGTTCACCTTGAAGTCTCATAGTAAAGTAAGATTTTCATACTACTTCTAGGTGGTGGTCTTATAAAAGGGGGTGGGGTTCATGGTTCTGGACCTTATTGAAAATTAATTGTTGCATAATATTGTGGGAACATATGAACCTGAGGATATTTGGTGTTGAGTTTCCTTACCTGGCAAATGGTTGAGTTTACTTGTTTATGTATAAATCCCTTTAAATTACCAGGCAACTGTTGCAGCTTTTATCTTCCACTATGTCGAGCATTGACCACTGTAACTTTCCTTGGTTGCTCACTGTAGTAGCATCATTAGAACGGAATTATACCATCTGTTCTAGTGTAAAGTAAGAAAATATTTTGGAGTACTTGTAATGAATGTAACATAGAAATATTTACTCTGCAAAATCTAGGAAGCACTAACTGGACTTTTATCATTTATAGTAAGAGCCTAAGAGGTCAACTATTTTGGATTAACTAAAAAAATGTAGGATATTTTCTGTCAGATGGTTGACAACTCATAAACAGACTCTGCAACTCCACCTCAACAAGAAAAGATTAGTGAAAATGATTGAAACTATCTAAATTAGTCGACAGATTTTTTGAAAATGAATTAACCTAAAACCAACATTATTCTACACATCATAACATGCACAACCTCTTGAGTTAGATATAAATTCTGGATGGAGTATCTTGTTAGAGCAGTTTTTGACATGGGATTTTAAAGGAAGTAATTGTCAACATACATGTGGAAATGTGGAAGTTAAGCTCTGTGCATTTCTTTCATAAGCGCAGGGATGCTATAGATGTCATATGAAGTGTTTTTTAGGAAATGCAAAAAGAAGTTCTTTTTGTTGGGGGTTAGGCTAATACAAAGTATTTTTTTTGATAAGATAAGGTATAACGGGGATAATAGAGGATATTTTTTTGATAAGATCAGGTATAACAGGGCTAATAGAGGGCATTAAACCTATAAACTGGAAATATTATCGTATCAATAAGAACCACACAAAGAGGCGTCATTGAGCTAAATGGTTGTTACTTGTTAGTCATAAGAAACAGAGATAATATTGGAATAATGTATTTCTTGTTAGGTGTGGATGAATTCAGGATATATGGGGCTTTAGACCGGCATTGCATTCGTTTTGCAATGTGTGACTATTCTTTTCAATTACATTATCTTTGGATTTTAATCCTTCAGATCATACATGATGTGGGGCACGTTAATCCTTATACAATTTTGATTTTTATCCTTGGATAAACAACTTCTGCGTAAGATAATTTCTAAATATGCCATATTGTTAATAGGGAACATAAAAAATGCAATAAACACCCAACTCTCTAATGCGTTGTTTAACGTGATGCCTTATTCTAGATCAAACAACTGCCCTACTTTGGACTTCTAGATTTTGGTGCAAGTTCGTTCTACCTTGTTGTTTTTAGACCTTCTGTAATGCCTTAGGCAGGATATCCCTAGGTCCAAGACAGTATTTGTGATCTTCGAGAATACGCTTGATTTTTATTCCTTTGGACTTTTACCACCTAAGCCCCAACAAATTTAGGACTTACAGCCTATTATTAAGCCGTCAAACCCAAGCTTGAAACTTTTTTTTCCGCTGTTTTTGCTCCTATCAACCTAGGTCTCGAAAATTCCTTTGATAAGGTAAGGGTAATTTTATTGATATCAGCATCAAGAAGGTATGTGATATAGTACAAAAGAAGCAGTTTATTCAATTTTCTCTATCGACTCAAAGAGTCCCAAAATTCCTAAAACTGTAAAATACTTTCTGATGTGTTCCCTTTGCATCTAAAGTATAAGTTCTGTAATCATTTAAGCTCGACAAAAGAATATGCTCAGTCTTCCCTTCAAATCATTTCCTGTCTCTTTCAAGGCACACAGTCCAGATGATGTGCACAGTGATAGTCTTTCTGGATCTGTTATCCACTCTCTTTCTGTCCCAACATAATTCAAGTTGCTAACATCGTGTGGCATTACTCAGCTTGCTCAAACAGGTTGATAAATAGAGACCAAATCTGCCTAGTAGTGCACTGTAACAATAAATGGTTGCTATTCTCCGAAGAACTACTGCGAAGAAAGCACTTCTTTTACATAATGAAATATCTCTTTTCTGTTATTTATTGAAGACACACACCCTTTAATGCTACCAAAGCAAAACATGCAAATAGGTGGAACAATGGATTTCCTACTCAATATCCAAGGCCATTCCTTCTCCCGATCACACTACTGCTTCAGGACTAACTTAAACGACTATATAAATTCAGACTTGCTAGCCAACCAAACCTAGGAATCTCTCTTTTTCATCTAGCACCACATGTTGCAAATTCCAGCAAAATCTAGAAATTGAAGTCAGAGTTGGCTTGAATATGTGCTAGAGGTGGCTCTGCTGACTGTTTTACATTCGGTTCAAGCATCTAGAATTGAAGTCGACAGGCATGGAGTTCTATTACTGTCAGCAATTAAATGTCACTCATTAGCTGGAGTTGTAGGGCAAGACCGCAAGAGTACTTGTAGATACCAAAGTAAGGTGGACCATAGATTAGGATATGGAATCGTGGCTAGAGTTCTTTTTTCCCCTTTCTTGGAGAGCGAGAGAGAAATAGCTGCCTAGCAATGGCATGAGCTCATCAGCCATTAATCCAAAGTCGGGCGAAAACAAACAATTGCTAGACACAATGAGGTTATGTTGAGAGGATGCCCATTTAAGGAGTTGAAAATCACTGAACAACTTGTTTTGCCTAGAAAAGGGTACAGAAAGCTTCCATTGGGATAACACTTGAAGTAACAATGAGTCAACCAACTAGCCTCAGTTTCTAACTAGTTCAGGTCGACTATATGAATGCTCTACATCCATTTTGGTGAATTATTTGTTTTTCCTATGTTGCACTAAGATCCTAAGGAAATATCTCTAATTTGTCACCTTAGGAATAGGCAAGTTTGGTTGCTATTGTGACAAGAATGCTTTCTCCAATCAACTGGTTGGGAGTTCAAGTCAACATGTAAGTGAAGTGGGAGAGACCACTATTGACTGCGCACGAGGTTGGGAGGGTGTGGTTCTGTCAAATAAAAGGAAGATTTCCCCCAAAGGTTTGCTCAGTTGGCGGAATTGTTTCTTTGGTCACAAGTTCGAGCCCTGTGCCAAGCGAACTAAATCCAGTATTTTAGTGGAGAAGGGGTAGAGGGATAAACCCACCATTCCCGAGTTTCAAAGGTTGTGGTTGGCCCAAATTGTTGGCTCTAGACGTATTTATCGGTCATTAAAAAAAGAAGGAAGAGATATTGACACCCATGGAGACTGGAGTAAAGAGAAATGCTTTGCAACTGAAGTGCGAAGAAGTAGCTACGCTGATGATATACATGTAATCTTGATTGCCGGAGTCTATGATAACAATATCCCTGTTTGTTTTCTTGCTTAGCTCAACACTCTAACTGAATAAATATGTTGCTAAAAGAACAAAATCATTGAAATATGACTAAGCTTTAGATGAGTGTCTACAGGAGGACTTTGTCAAGATTCTTACTGGAATATAGATTATTTTAAAAAAATATTTTGATTAATTATGATGTTTGTAATCAGGTTATTACAAAATGAAAAACTAATGAAATTAGGCAATGATGGGAAAAGGGTTCTTAAATGCAGTGTTACTTGCTCCCCTGTAAAATTAGGTCTTGGACCTAACTCACACCCCTAAAACTAGCTCAAAGGGAGGAGGATTGCCCAAGTCTTACAAAGAGACCACCCATCTTATTAATCACCAATGTGAGACTTTTTTCATCTTTCAACATCCTTTGGGTGAGTTGGGTCCTGCTCTGATACCATATAAAATTAAGTCTTGGGCCTAACTCACATCCCAAATCCTAGCTCAAAGGGAGGCGGATTGCCCAAGCCTTATAAAGACCCCCTTTTGTTTTCATGTTTGCATATCGCCGATTAATGCACCCCAAGATCTGCTATAAAACTTTCCAGTTAATTGTCTTGTACTATCTTTACAGATGGAGCTTTAGTTGCACTAATGCTGCCTTTTCCTGTAATTTTGAGAAATACATAATAAATTATGTGTTCGTTTGGAGTTAATAAGGATCTCAAGTTCTGCCTTAAGAGTTCTTCCGTCGTCACTTTTTCTTTTTTGAGACGGTTACAATTTGTATTTCTATTTCCAAAAAATCAAAACCTGGCACAACATGTTACAGGTTCCTAATTACAAATTTTAACAGATTATTAGGAAGATCTTCATTCCTATGACAAAAAATTACAGGGGATCCTAAGACATGCACAACTGATTCTAGATCTTCCATATACTCCTGTTTACTTATTTTCACTTGCAATGAAGTGTGTTGTCTGATACTCTATTCATATCAACCCATTCCAACCATTTCCTTCTATATTTGTAGGATTACTGTATGAAATGCTCAGGTCTGCCAAGTCAAAAGACTCAAAATCAGCATGGAAGGTACAACTACAGTATGCTTCAATTTGAAGAGATCATTCTGTTTGTGAAAATTTGTACTTCAACAAAAAAAAATTATGTGGTTTTAGATGAAAAGCTTTTTCGTACCAAATCAATGCTATAACGTCTAAAACTCATAGCAACTAATCATGTTGCTTATAAGTATTCTTTAGGAACTATTTCCCAAAAAATAAATAAATTGGAACTTTGTCAAGAAGATTATAGACCCATTTGCGACAAGGTTATGCCTTCACTTGCGTTGAAGTGGCTTTAAATACTTCTATTAAATTCCAAGAATGCAGGTTGATGAAACCCATAGATAGTTCTTCTATTGATCCTCTATCCTGCAGGTACTCATCATGGATAAACTAACTGTTAAAATAATGTCATACGCATGCAAGATGGCAGATATCACAGAGGAAGGAGTTTCATGTAAGTATTAAAAGACCACACTTAGGAATATTCATTCTTTTTTAATGACAATGGTGTCCGTGTCAGCTTGTTGACACTTTGACTGTTCCACTGGGTACTTGCTACTTCCCACACCAGCACATATACTAGATAACTCTGCACACCAATGCTTAGGCAGGTGGGAAGATCTCACCTAGTTTTTTTTTGCCTCCTTGGAGGTATACTAGAGAGCACATAGTTCTCCCCCCACTTCATATTAACCACTAGGCCACACCCTTGGGTGCCACATACTTCCATTTCTTACTTCTATCTTGATTTACTGTTGAATCAAGTCATTGATGGTTGTGTATAAATTTTAATATACATGCTTTCAGATGTGATACATACTTTATGTATATGTGTATAGATTTTCACATACTGTTCAGTTGGAATTTTCTTTCACCTGTTGATAGAGTCGACATGTTTTTTTTTATTTTGTTAGCTCCTTAGCTTTAGCTTAGGCTACTTGTACTAGTGCTGAAATGTTTTATTGTCCTTTATATTAGAGCTAACTGATCACACCTTTTGTAATTTGGCATCTTCCTGATGCCCATTCAATGATAATCTTTAACGTTCTCAAAAAACATAAATTGTACATATCTGAATTAAATAGATGTCTCTCTGTGTTAGTTATATCATTGGAATGTGCAGATTGTCTTGTTTTCCTCCTGGGTTTATGTGATCTTAACTTCGTATCCAAATGATGCTGATGGTCCCTCATAATGAATTAATGTGCATAAGTGATGTTAGTAGTATCATGTATTGGGTGACATTTCTATTACATTATTAATCTTAACCTCTTCAACCCATTCATCTTTACGTTACTGAATAGGATGTAGTGTTTGTTACTCCCTTTCTTTTGTGCCCTTGTATTTTAGCAGGCTACATTTTCCAGTTCTACCTGGAAATAAGTGCATATCTTATTAATGACATTTGTGTGGATTAGTAACTTTTCCTCTTAAGGTGCAAGTGCAATCTATTCTCTTTTACTGGTCTCCTGGTGATTTTGTCCTTTCCTGTTAAAGATTAGCAAACCTATAATTGGGCTGGAGAAGCATGTATTAGTTCCTGAATATATAATAAATTCATATTTCCTTAGAATATAATGGTCAATTAGGAGAAATTTCATGGGGCAACACCATAGCACGTGCCAATCCTGTGATTTATTGGTCACTATTGTCTTTCGGGTGGATGATTGTTGAATGTTGATGAACTTGATCTTGAATGACTGAAAGAGCTATTGTTGTCTGCTGGGTTTTCAGAGCGGAGGTGTGGGCGTTCTGCACATTCACTGGTTATCTCTCTTGTATAATTGGGCCGAACTTAATCTTTAAAAAGTCTGTTTACAATGTTTCTGCAGTGGTTGAAGACATATACAAGCGACGGCAGCCGCTCCCATCCATGGATGCGATATACTTCATCCAACCAACAAAAGAGAAGTACTAATGCTAATTTCTTTGTTTGACTTCCTTGCATAGTTCAATCTTTCAGACCCTCTAGCATTTATAGGTGTATACTTCTATGTTGTAAATTATGTTCTTTCCATTTTGCACCCTGAACATATCTTTTTTGTTTTTATTAATCAAGTAAACAAGATTTCATTAATCAAAAAGGGCCAGAATCGGCCACCTACAAGAGGTATACCAAAAGGAAAAGAACCTACCAAAAGATAATAGTTCTTTCATCTATATAACCAGAAACTAAATGAGTGCACCAAAAATAAATAAGTGATCAGAGACTACTTCTCAACTGACAAAAATTCATTTCTACCCCTTCAAATGCTCTCATGTTTCTCTCTCCAAATAATCCACATCAAAGTAAGAGGAGCAACATTCCATGCACTGCTCTTTCTCTAGCTTCTTCCAACTTTCCAGATTAACAAGAAGTCCTTGACAAATCTAGGCATCACCCATGACATACCAAACCATCTCATAAGATCCCACCACAGTCTCCTGGCTGCATTGTAAAAGAAATCAATCTACATCTTCACCTGCCTTGTTGCATGGGTAACACCAACTGATGTGAGCAATTCCTAATCGAAATAGTTGCTAGGACTTGAGCCTCTATTTGTACGGCTTGTTTCATCCATCCTTGAGTACTTGATCCTATTCCTGTGAGTGGCTCTCTTCTTGGGATCAGCTGTGCGAATTTGTATATCAACACATACCTGAGATTCTATTACTCTCATGAGAGGTACAATCTCGACTGATGATATAGAGTAAAAAAAAAAAAAAGAGCAAACTTATTGTCACGGAATATTATCCTAACCTTAACTAATTAAATAGAGAAAAGGAAAAGAAGCATTAACCTGATCTCATGGGTAGATAGTGAGGAGAAAAAATGATAGGGTGAAAAAGACATATATTGACAGAGCAACTCAAAGAACTCAAAATTTGAGCAAAATGAAGATATTAAGAAGGACGTGATAAAAAAATTAGGATAGAGTGCAAATTACACAAAATAAGTTTATTGAATAAGCTGATTACATTTGCATAGTTTGATTGTCCCATTTCCATTTTGGAATGTTTATGTTCGACACAATTTAACCATCAATTTTTCTTTTTACAAATTCCATAAATTATTTAAAATTGCGTCTTTCTGAACTACTTAGAGTTGTTGGACTCTTGTAGTGCTTTCCTATCAACTCATGTACTATGACCAGTATGATGTACCAGTAAGATTAGCAATTATAATCCCATCCATTCATACTCATGTCACATGATATGGGATGGAGATAGTAATTTCTTACACTTAAACATCTGATTGTTGAAGACTTGTCCATTTTTCCTATATGAATGAATACGTTGTTGGTAAATCTATTCTACTTTCAGTTTGGTATCCTTCACCATATCATAGGATGATAGAAGTTAAATTGAAATCACTTAAAATTTTTGAGGTTGCAGTATGTTAAGTATGTGATATTTTTTGTTTTAGTATCATGAATTTTGACTCTGATCGCAGAGGAGTATGGCTCTGTATCTTCCGTATGAGTTTTTATAGTTTAAATAGGTAATTTTGACTATGAATTTTCTTCACACCTAAACTATTATGCGGTGTTTAGAGAAAACACACAGGTATTGCAAGCAATTAGTTTAATGACTATTATCAGAAGCTCCATTTATAGTAGAGGTTTTACCATTCTGTTTTGGTTCTTCTTCATGGGTGATCCAGGAATTTTCCTATTATTTTTTCAACTTAGCTTTCGATATAGAAGGATCTTTTTATTCTGTCTTGCCACTATAATCATAGGTTGTTGTGATACTATTAGCAGAACTTCTGGGACACGTGTTCTTTTTATCAGGAACTTCTGTTGATAAATGTTATTATTATTATGCTGGCTCTTTGTTTATCTTAGTAATATCAATCTTGCTGTTTATTTATATCTAAATATCTATATGCAGATTCTATGTCTTGATCCATACAGACACTTGCCATTAACCTTTTCTTTTATTTGCAGTGTTGTGATGTTTCTATCTGACATGGCTGGGAAATCACCTTTATACAGAAAGTACGTCCAGAAATATCTTGAGTTCCATTCTGAATGCCTTTTGTCTTGGTCACATATTTTTCTTTGACAATTGTGGCTTGTTAACTAGCCTCTGTTGATAGAAATAATGTATTGCCGTGTTGTACGCTTGTACCTATGAATGCACTGATTCATAATATGAAAGAAGAAGTTAATTGACATTTGTGTTCGGTGGAAAAGAAAAAATGTTAATACACAGGCGGAGGACATTTTGAGCGAAGGATAGGCTGTCCCAAGTATCAGTTGAGAAAGCATTTTCTCATATAACCCATACTTGCAATCTCTCTGAGAGTCTTTTTTATATTGGAGCTTGCATTTAGACTGAATAAAGATTCTATCAAGACCACCTTGCAATAATTAACCTAAAGCTAGATTTGCTCTATGTGAAATTTCACATCATCTTTTACTGAATGCAAGCCAACATTGTGAAGGTACAGTCCCACCTAAATGCAATTTGAGTGAGAAGACCTCTGTTTAATAAGTGCATTCTGAAAAAAAGACCTTTAAGTTACCCAGATTTAGACCTCTGTACTTTTATGATGACCAAAAGTCCCAATCCTCATATGAATATTCATGGTATGCAAAGCCAACAATTTATCTCAACTGGATCTATTCTTCTATATCCTAAAGTCTGATGGTCAATTCCTTAGATTCCCTTCCAAAGAGTTAGGGAAGCTTGACTTTATCAAAAGGATATAGGGAACTTAGATATCGTAGATGTCACAGTCTGATTTGCTTTGGTTATTTTTTCTTCTTTCTCTCTCACTCATCCTCTGCTCCTCTTTATTTCTTTTTCAGGGCATTTGTTTTCTTTAGTTCACCTATTGCTAAAGAGTTGGTTAATCACATAAAGAGGGATTCAAGTGTTCTGTCTCGCATTGGTGCCTTGAGAGAAGTTATTATCCTTCTTTTGTGAAATCTTTTCTTGAGCTAATTTTACTTTTATTGCTTTAATTTGTGTCACTGTTCTTATTGAGGGCTTTATTGCGCAGATGAATTTGGAGTTTTTTGCTATTGACAGCCAGGTATATGATGATGCATCACTCAAAAAGTCATGAATTTTTTTATTTTTCTGCTTTAGTTCCTGTGCTTAATTGGAGAATGTAATTCTGTGAAAATTGTTATCGCTGATGCTGCGAGAAGCTGAGAATCATATTGTATATACCTTGTTTATTAAGAAGGTATTTCAATGGAACAGCTTTAAACATGGCTTAATTTTTGCCAGCAGATTTTGCGCTGGGGTTGTCTAGAATAGTAGTGTATTGATTTATCACTTCCTAACAATCACATATTACCCTATAGGGTTTTATCACCGATAATGAGAGGGTGCTTGAAGAACTTTATGGAGATGATGAAGGTTCTCGGAAGGGTAGTTTGTGTTTGAATGAGATGGCGAACCGTATTGCTACAGTTTTTGCATCATTGCGGGTAAGCATTTAGATCTTGATCTGGAGCTTTCAAGCATAGAGACAAGAGACACCCTTGCTAAAATTAATTTCTACAGGAATTTCCTTTGGTGCGCTACCGCGCTGCAAAATCACTTGATCCTACCACCATGACAACCTTTCGCGATTTAATTCCTACAAAACTTGCAGCTGGTGTTTGGAATTCTCTTACAAAGTACAAATCTACTCTTCCTCACTTTCCACAGACAGAAACTTGCGAGTTGCTTATTGTGGATAGATCAGTAGACCAGGTTCAACTTTGTTTCCTCCATTCTCCAGGTAGTCTTGTCTATTTCTCATTTCCTTGACATGCTTCACTATCTCCCCTTGTTTTCCAGATTGCTCCCATTATACACGAGTGGACATATGACGCAATGTGCCATGACTTGTTAAACATGGACGGGAATAAATATGTTCATGAGGTGAGTGGTGTGTTCTGAGTCTCTCTAATGGAAATGTTGTTGAATCTACCATAACATTGACATTTTAATGTAAGGCTAGGTTCCTGGCAAAGCTGGTGGCCCTCCAGAGAAGAAAGATGTTCTTTTGGAGGATCATGATCCTATCTGGTTAGAGCTCCGCCATGCACACATTGCTGATGTAGGTCTTTTGCATAACTAGTATAAGTTGGGAATAGGACATGATTATGCTATCTCTAACCAATAATTGGTTTGTCAGGCTAGTGAAAGGTTGCATGAGAAGATGACAAACTTTGTGTCAAAGAATAAAGCTGCACAAATGCATCAAGGTTCAAGGTTAGTCTGCACTTTTTGCAATTTACAGAACCTTTTTTCTAAGAAAATTCCGCTTGAATATGTGTTTATAAATGCTTTGTCATTATACGATCGAAAATTAATGCAATTTGCAAGAGATGATATATAGGATGTAAGAATCTGGGGATGTGATTGATTCAAACAATGGTTGACCTGAGATCTGTTTGGTTGACCCTCAAGTAAGAAAAAGCTTTCCAAGTCTCGTCCAGTGTGCAGCTGAAGTAGTTTCCTTATTAGTAAAGATGCTCGTTTCTCTTTATGGAAGATTTGGTGTGTCAATTATCAACTACACCGTACAAAGCTAAAATTCATGAACTTTATATTTACAAGTTGGACGCCTGCTAGGCGATTCTCAACAACAACAACAGGCCTGTAGTCCCCACACAGTGGGGGGAGGGGGGTAGAGTGTACGCAAACCTTACCCTACCTTAGAGGTGACGTAGAGAGGCTGTTTCCGATAGGCTATCCTCATTTACTAGGAAATGTCTTAAGCCATTTATTTATAGATTATAGAACTAATTGCAGAATGAGTTGCCATTTTTTATCTGGGTAAACTTGGAAAATACCTGCAAGTCTGGACATAGAAGCACATACCATTTTCTTTTTCCATTCTTTAGATTCTAAACTAGATAGGTTATGTTGTTTACTCCACTTCTTTCTCAAAATTGTAGGGACGGTGGTCAATTATCTACTCGGGATTTGCAAAAGATGGTTCAGGCTTTACCTCAATACAGTGAACAAATTGAGAAGCTCTCCCTGCATGTTGATGTGAGTCTTCTGAAAATTAAATTTCACTTGATTGTTTGCACTTTGAAGTCTTAAGTTTGATTTTATATCTACACTTTTGAACGTAAAGCAGCTAAAGATGTTTCTTTATTTATTATTCTGGTCAAGAGACACTGTTTATGTCATTCATTAAGCCTTATTCTGCTGTAGGCTCTTACTTGCATTGTAATTTTATCATGGCTATTCTGGTATTGTGGCAAACTGCAGGCTACTCAAATGTGCATAATATTGATCCTTCTTGTGTGCAAGATAGGCTAAAATCTAAGAGTTTTTCTATCGTTCTGGCATCAAAGATTAATTTGAAAGGAAGATGATTAAAACTAATAGTTAAATCACATCTATATTTCTTGTAAATGTTCATGAAAAGACAACATATATTTGGGATTCTTATTGTTTAACCCAATTGACTACATTTTAGGTTTCTGAAAACGTTAGGAATGCTTCCATAATAATTATGTATTCTAGATTTTCACAAAGTTTGTACTTTATCAAAAACGATCTTCACAGGCTTAAAGAACTCAAATTTATCTAACATTTCAAAATTTAAGATATTTTTCCAACTATTTTGATACTACTCTTATATAAAATGAATATCAAATAACTCAATTTTAGTGCATAGTTGAAACTATCCTAAACAGGATATGAATAATGGGGGTAAAATATATTTGATCAACATCTATTCCTTCCGAAACAAGTGCCAGAAAAGATGATTTTATCTTCTAATCAATTTTTTTGAGAAACAATTCTTATTCTTAAGCTTACCAAGATGCTAGTCAATTTTATGACTGTCTCAGTTCTTATATCTAATCAAACTTTGTTGTACGAGACAAGAGAGGGGGGAGTATATAGGAAACACATCCAGTTATCCCTGACAAATTCGAGAACAAATGTAATGTAGAGAGGATCCATTTTTTGGGACCCAGGATCTACAGGTTGCTGAAAATATCCATTGACCTTTGCACAGTTGCAAGTATTGATGAACACACTGTATTTTTCTAGTGCTTTGCTTGGATTAACACAATATTTGGTGCGATCTGTGATTTTATTTTTGGTAGCGAGAGTTTCATTGCGATTGTGACTGTTGAAGTGACGTTGTGAGTAGCTGTAGATAATCACTTATGTGTATTGGTGGAATTACATTTACCGGTCATGTTTTGCCTGAGCAAATGTTCAATATAGATATTTTCAGTTTCCTATTAATTTAGAGTTTATTGTGTGGTGGATAAGATCTTTTATTGAAGAAGTCATCAGAGTGACTATGATGACCATTTTTTCCCTAATCCAGATTGCTGGGAAGCTAAACAGAATTATCAGGGAGTCGAGTCTAAAAGAAATTGGCCAATTAGAGCAGGACCTTGTTTTCGGAGATGCAGGAACTAAAGATTTGATCAATTTCCTGAGGGTTCATCAGGTAGAAACTGTATAGATTGTTAAACCTCCATAATGTCTAGATTTGTTTATTTGAGCAATTAGCTGTGGTCTGCAGGATGTGACACGGGAAAGCAAGTTACGCTTATTGATGATTTATGCGTCCGTTCATCCTGAGAAGTTTGAAAGTGACAAACTTTCCAAGTTAATGGAGGTCAGTGATTTGCTATTGTTGTATCAATATCTTGAATCAAACAAGTGTCACCTTATATTGAGATTTTCTTCTTCTTGGTTGAACTACTAACGGTGTGAAAATCTAAATAAAGAGATAACTACTGCATGTTATGGTCTTCCTAGTGGTCGAAAACACAATTTTGCTGTTTGACTTGAATTCTCATCTGTGGCACAAGGCATTGTTTTAATTCTGATTCCTTTTCATGTTAATTTGTGTCATCTGGAACTACATTGACTTTGAACTTCACTTTAGTACTATTCTGAATGGTAGACAAGGCTGCTCTCATTGTTTAGAAGACAATTTTGTGCACATGAACACTCACATTTGTACCCCTTTAGTTAGCGAGATTGCCCCAAGATGACATGAATGCCGTGTACAATATGAGATTGCTGGAGGGATCAACAGATAATAAGAAAAGCTCACTGGGATCTTTCTCTCTCAAGTTTGACGTTCACAAGGTACGTGATTGGCTATGAAATTATTTGCATTCATGATAAGCTCCTTCTGATTAGATTTCATTGTCCTTTTTTTTAATAACAGAAGAAGCACGCCGCTAGAAAAGACCGTACTGATCAAGCATCAACATGGCAGTTGTCTCGTTTTTACCCAATGATAGAGGTATGCTATGTGGGTGTGTTATGAGACCATATCTATGAACTGATGATTCTGATTATGTTTTGGTTGTCATGATTCTACATGTAAATCCAACAATGTCAAGGGACAATTTAGGTCCCTTCCATGTTCTCTCCCCCAGATCCAACCCCCCCCCCCCCCCCTGCCCCCCAAATGAAAAACAAACAAGCAGGGATAAAGAACAAACTTAAGGCTTTCTGATGAAAAGTAGTTCATGACTGTTAGCTCCCACATCAAGAATAAAATCTAATATCAGGGTCACTGTAATTCATAACATTGATGGGTTGGGGTGACTCAGAGATCCAAAGATACTACTTTGAGATGGTTAACTGATCAAAGCTATTCTAATCTTGCAGGAACTTGTTGAAAAACTCAATAAAGGGGAATTACCAAAGAATGATTATCCCTGCATGAATGATCCAAGTCCAACTTTCCATGGGACTTCCCAGTCTGCATCAATACAAGCAAATCAAGTTTCAACTCCTCATTCAATGAGATCGAGAAGGACAGCCACATGGGCCCGCCCTCGAAATTCTGATGATGGATATTCTAGGTACACATTATTGCACCTCACCATTATATGTCATGATATCATTTCTGTGCCAGCACTAGGCAATCATTTAAAGGAAGTGCTGATTGAATTCCTTCACTCTCTTGCAGTGATTCAATCCTGAGGCATGCATCAAGCGATTTCAAGAAAATGGGTCAACGCATTTTTGTATTTATAGTTGGTGGAGCTACACGATCAGAGGTGTTATTTTCAGACTTGACACTTCCCATTCGTCGTTATGGTTTTAAAAAAAGAACAAACTTACCCTTTCCATTTCTGGCTTATATTTGGTTTCCTTGGTGGCATGTTAATGTTCTAACTTTACTTGTCAAATATGTTAATCTCAAAGTCATTTTCCTTTGTATGTTTCAGTTGCGGGCTTGTCACAAGTTATCTACAAAGCTGAAGAGAGAGGTAGTTCTTGGTTCATCCAGCATCGATGACCCTCCACAATTCATTACGGTATGACACTTCATCTGCTTCCTCCCCTATCTCCTTTTTTTCTTTTCTCATTTGGGGTGCCATTATAGATGAGGTAATATTTGTGAACTTGTAGTTAATCTCTTCAGTTAGTAATGATAACTTTTTTTTTATTATTATTAATATGTTACTGCCTTCTACAGAAATGGACAGCAATCGCTTGTCTGTCGTCGTTTTATTGATAATTGAAATGCCTTCTTGCGAATGTCAATAAAACATGTCCTTAATTGGATCTTGTTTTACATTTTTTGCATATATGCTTCTGTTTGCATTATTTTGGACCACAAACAATTTTTTCTTAGGAAAAAGCCAGAGCATCTTAAAATCATTTGAACTCCATGATTTGTTAGTTGGAGAACTAGTTGTATAGCCTTAGGGTGTGTTCCGTACAGAGGAAAATATTTTCTGAAAAATTGTTTTCGAAGTTTTTCATATTCGGTTGGTCATAATTTGTGGAAAGTATTTTCTTTGGAAAATAAGTTCCTTCAAAATGAGGAAAATGACTTCCTTAGTGGAAGTAGTGAAAACAAGTTCCACAAAATGACATTTCACATTGATAGTGTCCTCCAAAACACTTCATCTTCACCCCCACCTCCTAGGACCCCATCTCCACCACCCTACGCCCCTACCTCCACATCCCCACCTCTAGTTAGAGATATATGCCCACATTGACTTATGATGGTTGATTGTGTTGCAGAAATTAAAGCTCCTGACTGCAGACGAGCTCTCGCTGGATGATTTGCAGATCTAGAAACAAATTGCTGGGGAAGATGGCAACCGAAATCTCTTATTTCCCAGGCTAGCATTCCAATTGTATACCAAACTACGTTGATTCATTTCAATTTTTGACAGTCTTTTGGTAGATATCTGGTACATTGAAAGGTTAAATGCAAAGTTGGTGGAACATTCAGATTCCCTAGATGTTAATGTCAATGTGCCAAAAAATTAGGGGTTTGGGTGTGTTGTATCATTTTTATAGGTTCCATTCAAGACTTCCATAGTGTGTATAATGTAATTTCTGTTAATGTAGAGGCCCCATTTGGAAGAAACATTCTATATCTTTTTTTTTTTTAGGATTTCTTTTTAAAAAATTTGCCAGGATGCCCCATGATCCAAAATGGTTAATTTTTTGCCTACTTAATCATGCTCTATTGATGATTCAGGAAGCATGATGTCCAGTTTCCTATGAATACGAGACATCCAACTTTGTATCAAAGTAAGCACAATGAAAAGATTTGGTAAAATGGTTTGATGAACCCTTATACTTGTATGCATTTGTATTCTAAACCCTCCTACTTAACCTTTTGTCCACTAAACCCTTAAACTCGTTAAAACACTATTTTAAACATTTTTCTCATCAGATCTTTGTGGGTGTAATACAATCTCTTACACATGTAATTCCATGTCATTTTTCAATGACACATCAGAAAATAAAAAAAATAAAAAAATTTAATTTTTGTAAATTCTGAATTTTTTTAAATAGTCATGTTCTTCGACTTTCATATATTCTTACAATTTGAGCACCAAATTCATGTCAAATAGATGAAATTCTTCTTTATTTGACTTGAAATTTCAACTAAAAGTTTACCAACACAAATCCAATGAGCCAATCACAAATTTGAATTAATTTCACAAATTCATAAGACCCATTTGTTGTTCTTCAAGCTTTCTCAAGCTTATCAATGGAGTTTTCAACTTTTTTAATACCCACCATCACCCTTTACGTTAATGCATATCATACCTCCTCTTTGAATCTAACTAATACAAACAATGGTTTCAACTTTTAAAATAAAAAAGACTAAGAATTTAGAAAAATAGGGGCTGAAAAAAGAAATTAATGACGGAGTTTTGATTTGTTGCAAAGAGGAAAGTAGGTTGAAGAAGAAAAAGAAAGCGTATGACGAGTGATTTCGAAGAAAAGAAAAGAATGAGTATGGTGAGTGATTTTGTTGAAGAACAAGAGAAGAAAGTTTAGGGTTAGGGGTGGGAAGAGTGTTGGAGAAGAAGAGAAATTGGGGTGGGGTGGGGTGGGAGTGGGTTAATGAAGAAATAAGTTTTTTTTGATAAAAAATAATATTTTAAAATAAAATATAGTGTATTTACACACTTGAAAGCGAGTATATTCACACATTTTTCCAATTCAATAATATTTATGCCACATAGATTTGGACATTTGGTCAATGGTCAGAGAGGTTTCAAATATTGTGTTTTAATAAGTTTAAGGGATCCAATTGATAAAATATAGAGTTTTTTTTTTTTTTTTTTAACCGTGGTTTTCGGGCGTCGCTTTGCGAACCCGACTAGCTATACCCACCGGGTCCCGCTGTTTCAAGGCGGGTCCACCACGGTTAGTTCCATGAGGCCCTGGAGACACGGCCGGTTTGTAATGCCTCCAGTGGCCCTGCTGGGGCTCGAACCGGCGACCTGAAGATAAAATATAGAGTAAAAGAGTTCAAACACTTTGCTTCAAAAAGTGGGCCCTTTTGGCTTCAAACTCTATGCTTCTCTGCTCCTAAGCACTTATCCTTAATACGCGATTATTCTGTCTGCCGTATTAAACACCAATCAGCTGAAACATTTCACAAACTAGCAAAATAGGAATGACCGTCCAATGTATTCTCATTTTGGTTTGTTCAAAAAAGGATCTATATACTGAGGTCTATAAGGTTCATAAGTTACAAAAGAAATAAAAAGGTTAGTTACTAAACAATTATCAATCTCTGCAAATCCAGGAGTACATGACTTTTGATGACATTAATAAAGCCTTTCAATAATGCTAATTACGCAGTTCTTTTGCCTTATTGTCCAAAATTACTTCTGCTTTCCTTTTCTTGCTTTCACCTACTAGCCTCTTAACGTATGAAATATATCCGTCCACGTTGAACTTCCTCTTGCAACCTGCATAGTTCATGTACCTGATTTTACCAAATACCGGGCGTTCTCGCCAACCCTGAAAAAAAAACTCAGTTGCAGTTACTGAATCCAAGCATACAAAATGTGGTATAACATAGTTTTCACCAAAGTTACAAGCTTTCATAACCTTAAAATTTGTTTATTTTGGAAAGTGTTTTTTGTAGATCAGACTCTTCAAAAATGTTGTCCGTACTCGTGTTGGATCATCCAAAAATGCAATGCACTATTTTTGGAAGATCTGACAACTCAACCCGTCAACATTTTTAAAGTGTTTTAATAACATTAAGCATGTTGCAGTAAGAACCTGGTCGTGTACGCCACATATTGACCACATGCATCCAACATAACCACTAGGATCTCTTCCATCTATATGATACTGCAAAACAATAATATTTCAGATCAGAAATATGATGCATCTCTAAAAAATGCAATCTTTTAGTGCAGAGAGATAACATTACCTTATCATTTAAATATATTGTGATAGCCAGAGCTTCTTCTGGTCCACTTGTCCATTCGAGTATCTTTTTAGCCCAATACATCCTGCATAAAAATTTGCAATCTGGAACTTAGGGAAGGACAACAATAAATTTCTGTTCTTTTCCTTTTGCCTGTTCTGTAAAATTTTGCGACCTTATTCATGTTTGCTTGAGAAGTGAGAAGCATAATTAAATGACGCAGAAGACCATATTATAATGCATCGGGCAGGAGTCACTGAGCAGGATAAATATGGAGAAGTATTACTTGCCTCATAAAACCATGCATTTTCCCATAATGAACCATCTCTAATTGAGAAGCATTCCACAGCTGAAACAAAAAATAAAACGATTAACTAGTTGGAAGTATATTTGAATGTATAGCAACTGAAACACATGAAAAGAAGACCGTGTCATTGCAAGATGTGAGGAGGATCCTGTTAGAAACCTAAAAGCAGCAGGTGAAATAGCAGGGCCATGCTAAAGTCTTCGAATCAGATCGATAACTCTTCACTCACTACCAAATATTATCATTCTTTTGGCACTTTTTGTTAATGTAACAATTAGATGAAAAGGTAAATTACAGGGTCTGCAGTTTGCGCCTTCTCCAATTGCTCTTGCCTGCAAAAGACCATATTCACTTCCAACTTCAATATCATATAAAGAGTAAATACTAGCATCTAACAACAAACTTTCTGTTTCATCTTCAAAAAAATTCTTATGAATTCATAGAGATTAGACGAACAGATAGTTAAGAATCTTATTCTTTTCTTGCTTAATGTAGATCTACTGAGAAAACAAATGAAAACATTTAACTCACGTGTATATATGTTCTCGTTTATCAGATGCATGTTCCATTAAGGTTTTACGCGCCCATTCCCATGCACCCAATAATGAATCATATTGAGGCTGGTAATAGCAGAAGTTATCAGAAAGCTCTCTGCGCACAACCATTTCCTCCAGAAATGTGTCAACTGCCTGCATAAGCAGCAATCAACCATATAAGCTTAACATCAGGATACTAATAATGGCTAGTAAATCATAAGGAAATATAAAACCTCGTGAAAATCAAGAGCATATACTAAAAGTTCAAAATCTGTTTGAAATACTGCACAAGGGCAGAGCTAACTTATCAACTAATTCTATAAACTGAAGAAATGATTTCATATTACGCAGAATTATAGCACAAATGTAGGATTTCATATTAAGCAGCATTATAGCACAAATATAGATAGACTGATACGATTCCACGACCTGAGTATAATTTTTCCGAACTTTGTTTGCTTCTAAAGCACATCTCTGTGCAGATATCTGCCCAAAGTGCAAATAAGGAGAGAGACCAGAAAGTGCTTGGGGTTTCAGAGGGTTGTTCCGGTCCATTGAATAAGTCTTCAACCTGGTAGTCAGGAACCCTTTTTTACTTCCCATTAACACTTCAAATGCAGCGTCTTCACCTGGTTCACACCATTCAAGTTCAGGAACTTCTGCTCCTTTCCTGGTGCAACGGTCAATTTATAGCATATGTAGTCTAAAAAATATATAAATCACAAGATTGTTAGACCAGTGCGAATATGTTACCTTACAACATCTGCAATTATTTTTGGCCAATCTATCGGAGGGTTTGAAGAAGACCACTTTATCTTAGGAGGCTCTATTGCAGGCAATTCAATCAGATACTCAGGAAGCAGCTTATTTATTTTACCCCGTAGCGTTCTAGCACTGTATTCCAATTTAGCTGATGCCACCCAAAGAGGAACAATGTTGTGTGCATCAACCTCATGTACTGTCACTGATTCATCCACCCTCTCACAAATTTTTTCTTTCCAACTCCTAACATCCCTCAACGGTGAGAAATCTGTTACCAGAAGAGAAGCTCCACATTCTTTAAGAAAGTTGGGAATTGTGTCTATAGCTTCTCCCTGTTCAAGACAAGCCATTGCATAACGAGATTAAAAAGGACTACTAACAAACAAGGACAAGAAAAGAAAACATATTGAGAATGTGCCATCATAGAGATCAATACAAGGGTTACTTTAGGAGTTTCAGCACAAAATCATGGGAATATTTACGTCTACAAGCATATACATATGTGAAATGGAGCAATGAAAAATGAAATGAAACACTGTCATATTTGATCATAACTAATCAGCCAAATCGATTGAACAGTAAATCCCAAAACTAGTTGGAGTATTTGGCCATATGAATCTTCCATACCTATGCCACTCACACTCATTTCATTCTAAGACTGCTTCGGGTTCTCCAAAAATAGAGGCTATCTAAATTCCACATTCTCCCTTCTTTGTAAGTAACTAGCAATACTAATTTATCTAAATGCTCTTTAATCTAGTCGTCTTAGATATGTCATGTCGAAATCTCAATAAAGAAAAGAGGCATTCTCTTTTAAAACGGACCAAAAAAGAAAGTAACACTAACAAATTGAAACCGAAGGAGTAAATAACAACACAAATATAAGTGCAAAATGAACATTGTTTAAGCAATGCATATTTGTGCATGTAAGCTGGCTCGGACATGTAAATACCGATTTCGTTTACCTGAAATAGAAAAAACGGAATTTGAAGGGTACTTTGGAGGTTCCCCTGAAGCTTCTCAAGGCCTCTAAGCATAAACCCTAACTGTCTAGCTTTAGCACCTAAAAACTGATCGAACAAATTGAAAGCAATAGCTACAGGTACATTTGCCTTGTTAGCTTCATCAACGGCGTGGACTAACGCCCAGTTATCTCTTATCCGTTGATCTCTAAACATCCAATACACCACCGGTCCAACCAACGGTCCTGATCCTTGCTTCACAACCCGGATCCGACCCGACTGAACAACTGGAATTGCGTTAGCCATGGCGGAACACGGCGAACAAAAACAGTGCTAACTTGCGCCGGGCGGAGAAAATGCGTAGGTTAACGGAGTATAGTGGAGAGCTTCGTGTTTTGGTTCCGTACAGGTACAGTTGAGAATTAATGGAGGGAAAATGAAACAGTTAACGGTTGTGGTATTCGAATGAGACACGTAATGCTTTCTGATTGGTTGGATTTTGGGCCGGGTCAGTAGGAAAAGCATTAAAACTAGAAAAAGTATGGGCCATATATCATAGGAGTAGCCCAATATTTGTACCTCTGATTTAAGATTCAAAGTTTACGAGTTTCTACAATTGCCTACAAATTAATATCTAATTATAAGATGAGATTCATAATCAAATATAGGTAAGTGTTTAGTAAATTTCTTATTATATATATACGATATGATATAAATAAAAGTTATTGAATTTCATAAAATTATAAGTTGTACTTTACATCTGCTATTAACTCTACTTGCGGTTATAATCTTTGATACTTCATAATTCTTTGATCGACGGTTAAATTTACAACTTGAACATGTGATAGAAGATTATTAATCTACTATTTTAATAAATTTTCAATTAATATTATAAAAAAAAATTAGTAATTTATTAAATAAGTGATCTGATCATATAAATATTCTTATACACGGTCAATACGTACATATAACTTAAACACTATTGGATAAGTGTTTTGATACATGAATGTTGGCAATAAGAAATTAATTAAAACCACGTTTCAATTAGTTGAAGCAAATGATGAAGGCTAAAAGCTATCTACTGTTTTTTTTTTCTCCCTTTCTTAGCGCTTAATCAACCATTATTTGATTAATTATGACTCTTTTAAACTTCTTCTGTTATCTTAATTTAATATTCAGTTACTCACAAGCGTAAAGATTAATCACCAAATCCCAAACTAGTTGCTACAATTAATTAATTAATTATCAATTGGTATATTGAGTAATATTATGGTCAAATACAATGTCACATGTTAATAATTAAGAATACTATAGAAAAAGTGGGCTGCTAAGGGAAATAATGTGGACCTAACTAAACTTAAAATACAGACAACAACTTTTTGGGGTAAGCAACCCACTAAATCTTGGATTTGTACACCAAATCTCCTTTAAATATCTTCTTGATGAAAAAGACAATTATTTCCATCACATAATGATGTAATTAATTGCCATCCTACATTTCTTGTAATTGTACGTACAACTTTAATTTGCCTTGTCATGCTTATTGAATAGGTGCTTTACTTGAACAAACAAAAATCGGAAATTTTGTTAAGAGTATTTAGGATTCAAGATATATGTATGAAAAATAACTTTTTTTTATCTATATACTTTGTATAACTTTCTATATACATAGCTACGTCGCTGCTTGAGCTGGGGTCTGTTGGAAAATATCTCTTATATCATTTTATTGTAGGGATAAGATTGCATACACAACACCTTCTCAAACTTCATTGCGGTGTTAGATACTCACAGTGAAGCTAGACTAATCCGGAATAGCGCGGCGTAAAGCTCATTTAACGATGTGTGTACTGCGTGACACTGAATAGATTTTTTTGTCATACTCAATAGCTCAAACTTGTTACGTCTAATTAGAGTGGAAGAATCTTAACTATCCAACCACCGACATACATACTCAAAAATAATTAAATCCTTGTCTTTGCAGATAGTTATTAAATTTAATTCCACTAGATGTAAAACAAGTATCGTTAAGAGTTTTCTCCTTTTTGATTATTTGTTTCTTTATAAAATAAAATACTGAAATTGTTATTGATGATTTTTGGTACTCCACGTATCCCATTAACATTGGAATTATTTCTACATTAAATTAGATAACATATATATTTATTAATACAAGCATCAATAATTGATTCACTTAAATTCGTGACATATAAATATAAATATAAATATAAATTTTACAGAAATAACTTCATTATTATTTTATGGCTTGCTTTCAAAAAGAGTACTACCCCACTATAAATACTGGCCTCATGTTAGTACTCTACGTGTATAATTATGCACCTATACATAGTTAAATAAAAGGAATAATAAACCAAAAGTATGACCTAAGCCAGAAAAAGTATTTTAAGCCTAAAAATAATGGGCACTCCATTTAATTTTTCATAAGGGTAAATATACCCCCAAAAGTAGGCAAAAATGGATCTTCATGTATTTGTCAACCTATATCATTAAACTAATGCTAGAGCTACATACGTAAAAAAAAAATATACTACTACAAGCATTTCAAAATTTAAAATTTATAAAATATTATAACTTTTTTCAAGTTAATAGTATTGCCATATTAAATGAATTTATAATTAAATATTTTATTAGGGTTTTTTTGGGCAAACTATTAATTCAAATTAAATGCTATAAATATAGTATGATTTAATTGTACCTCATAGCAAATTGTTGCTATTTCACCTCTCTCCTGGTGAATCTGGCTCGTTCTCTCCCTCTCCTCTCTCGTTTTTTATACAAACGCAAGTGTATAAAGTGCGTTTGTGTTTGTATAAAGCGAGAGAAGATTGTATATATACATATATTTTCGTTCCCCTCTCTCCCCTCTCCCAGATCTCGCTCTCTCATTCGCCTCTCTCACTTTATACAAAAACGCAAATGTATAAAATGTGTGAAAATTGTATATATACATATATTTTCGTTCCCCTCTCTCCTCTCTCCCAGATCTCGTTCGCCACTCTCCCAGATCTCGCTCTCTCACTTTATACAATTGATCTTTTTGTATATGTATACCAAAGCAGATTATACAACTGTTTTTTTTGTATATGTATAGCGAATTATACATATATATGTTTGTTATTGAGCGCAATTATGCAAACTTTGTTATAGCATACAAATATGAATTTTGTGTTTGCTATATGCGAAAGTTGCTCTTTTTTTGGTGTGGAATGTGATATATAAAGTTATTCCATAGATTGTAATATATCATTTTTAGTTATCTGATCACCATATATATATATATATATATATATATATACCCTATTGTCGCATAAATTGTGGAATAAATAGTCTCAGAATTAATTAATACCCTAGGAAAACGGAGGACAAAATATTCTTATATTATATTCCAGAATTATTATCTTTTATCCCCGTATCAAATGACTCATTAAAGTTTGAGTTATCTTACTCATTGGAAAATAAATTGAAACTAATATTATACTTAATAATAAGATAAAATAGATATGAAAATAAATTATTTCTTGATTTTTTAAATTCAACAAATAAAAATTGTTCACTATACATATATAGAGAATTTGACCATAATTTATTGAATTTACGTGAACTCATAACTAGACCTCTAGATCCACCCTAGTCCTTTAAGTAACGATTAAAAAAGAACATGATTAATGTTTAATCAAGAACGTGGAGTGGGGTATAATTAGGAGAAAAAGGAAGATGAAGAATTTAAGTGTATTAATTACAATAATGATAGCAACTTAGATGGGAAATTAATATAGGCCAAATAGCAGTAATAATTTGGTCTGTTGTTCTGTGAAAGCTCTATTTTAACAAAAAAAATTAGTATTTGAATTTTGAACTACCATGTTCCTCTATGAGTATGTCTCCCTCCAGTACGTTCCACAATAATATTAATTTCTTTAGGAGAAAATGCTTGACATCGTAACAGTAAAAGTTATCGCCGTATGATAAAATAGCATGGATTTAAATCGTGAATACAATGTAAAACACATAAGATATGTAGACAATATAATACTATTATTTTTGTTTCAAGGAGAAATACATATATTTTTTTATATTTTAGAACAAGTTAACTTAAAATTTGTCATTTTACGCAAAGAACTCTTTTCTTGAAAAATAGGTTTGATTGCAACTTCAAATAAAATGACTTGAAGAAAAATTTCATAACAAATAAACATAGTGATGGATTTTAAATAGTCACACAAATGTTATGACATATTTCAGAATAAATATTTCTTTTAAATAGTCACATAAAAATTAATTAATAAGTTATGATAAAATAATGAATTTTAATTTTGAGTTCGATTTTATGCATAATAACCACTAGAAATTAAAATGAGTACCTAAAAATAATGGTCATCTCATAATCTCTTTGCTGTTCAATTAGGGGTTGTTTGATATCTCCATAATTATTTTCTCATAAATTATATATGTATTAGAATTACACGCAGATTTTCAAATTATAAATCAAACATCATATTTCTATTATACATAAATAACTTACCACCTAAACAACTACTGAATATGATATTTTCTATACAAAATTTATTTTATACTTAACTCATCTCTGATCAGCTACTGAACGGCGTATCAATAACTATTTTTTTTAAGTGTTGGTGGAAGATGGGTACTCACAAATGTAAGATAAAAATGAATGTAGTGAAGGGCCATTAAGTGGAATTGTGTAGTGTTATAGTATGTCTATGGTCCCAAATGTCCAACATGTGATTTGTATTTTTTTTCACTTTGAGGTTGTAAATGGCTATTCAATCTCAATCAAACTTAGGATCATGATGCCCAGAACCCTGGAACTGTCCTTAATTTAAGCTAACATAACATGGACTTCTTCCATTCAATTCCATTTTGAAATGATGTTGTATCCTCTAATTTGTTTTTTTTGTCCTCCTCAACCACCCCATAGTATTAGTCGCTAATAAGGTAAAAGTTCAGAATATTTTAGTAAGTCAGAAGTAAGGTGTGTCCGGTATGGAGTTATTAAATTCTTTATAAGATATTTTTTCAAAGGAAAACAAGCTTTTAAAAATGAAGAAAATGACTTCTTCGATATAAGCAGGAAAAACAAGTTCTACAAGTGATATTCTCACGTTAATTGTGTCACATTCACCCTCTAACACATCTTATCTTCACTCCTCACCCATACCCGAGGTGAATTTGAAGTTCAACTCTATGGGTCCATTTTAAAGATTTTTAGAGTTGAACTCATTATATTTTAAAGTTAATTATAGGTTCATATCTAGTATTTATTATAATTGTATTGAATTATGCTCCATGCCGAAAGTTATCATGAGTTCAATTAAATTTGTACCCATAAGGGTATATACGTTTATGCCTATAGTACCATTATCTTTTA